CTATAAAGAAGAAAAAAATTAGCCAAAAAAGGAACTACAATGGAAACTATATGTAGGGCTTTGGGGCTTTAGGGCTTGGAGGGTCTAGGGTTTCAGGGTTTAGGATTGAGGGTTTTGGGTTTCAGGGTTTAGGGTTTAGGGTTGCTTTCGAGCTTCAGGGTTTAGGGTTTTGGGGTTTAAGATTGAGGGTTTTGGGTTTCAGGGTTTAGGGTTTAGGGTTTTGGGGTTTAGGGTTTAGGGTTTTGGGTTTCGAGCTTAGGGCTTTGGGGTTTAAGATTGAGGGTTTTGGGTTTCGAGCTTCAGGGTTTAGGGTTTCGGGGTTTAAGATTGAGGGTTTTGGGTTTCAGGGTTTAGGGTTTAGGGTTTTGGGGTTTGAGATTTGGGGTTTTGGGTTTCGAGCTTCAGGGTTTAGGGTTTGGGGTTTGAGATTTGGGGTTTAGGGTTTCAGGGTTTAGGGTTTAGGGTTTTGGGGTTTAAGATTGAGGGTTTGGGGTTTCAGGGTTTAGGGTTTAGGGTTTTGGGGTTTGAGATTTGGGGTTTTGGGTTTAGGGTTTAGGGTTTAGGGTTTGGGGTTTGAGATTTGGGGTTTAGGGTTTAGGGTAGGTTAGGACGTCTCTATCCAAGCCGCAGGGTTTGGCACGGCTTACATGTCCCAAGTCCCACGGCTTCCCAACCCTCAAGCATCTGAAAGACTGAGGCGAGAGGGACTAACATACGTAAGGCAGTCTGGATCTTAATAGGACTCCCTTTTCAATGCCTTCTTCATGTAGGCTCCGATAGCGATCATGGCCGCCGAGAGGATCATGCCTGCATGTCCGCAGTCTGAAGTTTAATCGTCGTGCTTGTCATTATCTTATTCACTCTGGCACAGACTTCCTGTATGCAATTGTTATTGTTCCTACCGCGCTTCTCCTGGCTCTTCAGGAAAATGCTGCATACTCTTCCTCGTCTACTTACTTTCATCTTTCGCACCAGCAGCAGAAGAAGTAGTGGTAATTGTTGTTGTAGTTGTAGTTGTAGCTGTAGTGGTTGTAGTTGTAGTTGTAGTTGTAGTTGTAGTTGTAGTTGTAGCTGTAGCTGTGGCAGTAGCAGTAGCAGTAGCAGTAGCAGTAGCAGTAGCAGTAGGAGTTGTAGTAGTTGTAATAATAGTAGTAGTAGTAGTAGTAGCAGCATCGGCAGCAGCAGTAGCAGTAGCAGTAGCAATAGCAGTAGCACCAGCAGTAGCAGTGTCAGAAGCAGTGGCAGCAGTAGTAGCAGCAGCAGTGGTAGCAGTAGCTGCAGCAGCAGCGGCAGCAGTGGTAGCAGTAGCAGTTGCATTAGCAGGAGCAGCAACAGCAGCTAGTTGTAGCACTTCCGTAACTAAGGTAGTAATGCTGCGGTGGCTTAATATCAAGCATAACCCTGAAGAAGAGGCTGTCGGATAAAGCAGAGAACTCCACGTAAGGCACGCGACCGGAGGATGTGACGGGCGGTCTCACCTCAGATTCCGGAAGTTCTCCCATACTCCCCGAAAGCATTCAACTGTCAGCGTCGGAACAAAAAAAACGGCCGCATTCGGGACAACCCTCGGCTCGGAATCAGATTGCAAGGAGCCCTGCTATGCTGAAACTGCAGGGGCTCCAATCACCACACTTGTTGCAGCTGCATCTCTACTGGCAGCAGTCGCGCAGAAAGCTATTTATGCATCCTGAACAGGAAAGTCATCATCAGGGTACCGGAAAACATCAGTGAGAAGCCAAACTCGTCAAAGCCGGGCCACATCATAACTCCCAAGAAAGCTGCAACAATACAGAAGATCAGTCTTCGAATGGCATGCTCTCGGGATGCTTGTAGGGTACTGGCCCAGCAATGTTGCTGAAACATGCAGTGGCAGTGTCGCTTTGCTTTAGAGCCCCAAACATGCACCGAAGTCCCATGTTGGAACGTCTTGATGCAAGTCCGATGTTGTGCATGAAACCGCTTGCTGACGATAGCTCGGGAGCCCAGGCAATGTATCGAGAAGTATGAATCAATGATGCCTATGATGCCTGTGATGCGACCAGGATCGGCGTTCCGCACTGAATAGCTCTTTGACTTGATCAAACACTCGGAGATTGAAGTTGAGCGGGCTACGGCATTCTGTCCTGGATGTGAATGGTCCAAGAATCTCCCGATGTACGGAGAACCATCAGTGGTTCGTACATGTTCCCACACTCCCGAATCGAAGTGCGCAAACCTTGCACCATTCCTGCACCGATGCCAAATCCTGACGGAGAAAATGTGCGATCGAGCATCAAGCACCAAGCAGGAGGCCAACCAGCATGCAGGTGAAGTACCCGACGCACCTTTCAGCAGTTTCCGGCTTCCGGCATGAGAAAGGCAGGCCAGAAACAGGGAGCTGCTTCCCTGCAGCCAAGAAGCGTAGCACGGAACGCCAGGAGCACCAAAGTTTCATCTGAACACCTGGGCAGCCTACCCAACACACGTGCCGGGAACCGTTCGTCGACTTGCAAAAAGCAGAGTCCCGTCTTCCCTTCAACATGGAGCCTAAAGAAGAAGTCATCTTGTGTTGACCTTGAGGAGGGTTTACCAGTTGATGTCATGTATGTCTGTTTAAAGCTCAAGGACTAGCTTCAGGCTCGGGACCCCTTCTTCCTCTTCGCCGGTCCCGTCTCAGGCTCCAAACCTCCAATGCCAAGGCTCGGATATCCCAAAGCACAGCACGAGCTTGAGGCAAAAAGGCCCAGGTACATGACCTCGGATCTTTGCAGAACTCGAAAATTCTCGAGCAACTTCCTGAAACAAACGCGCAATAACACGAAGAATGGCAAACCGCTTTCGGTGTGAGCTCTGGGGCGCAACCTCGAGGCTCAGGGTCTTGTTAGGAGGTGGGTTATAAGCCAGCAATTGCTGGGCGATCGTTTTGCTGCAGTGTGGCGAAGTTGAGTTAGCTGTTAACACGTTAAGAACATTGGTAGGAAGATCCGATTGGGGGCTTGCATGACGCTCGTAGTTCATCACGAAGCCCGCAAAGACGTAAACCGTCGAAACCAACGCTCCAGCTTTCACGTTGCTGTTTGTGCAGCATCTCATGCCCGTGCTGCGCACCGTGATGATGACGATGAACTTGAAGGAGGTAATGGTGATGCTGATGATGATGGTGATAAAATTACGGAGGAAGAGGAGGAGGACGACGACGACGATGGTGATTAGATGATGAGATAATGATGATGGTGGTGATGATGGTGATGATGGTGACTATGATTCGACTATGATGATGAGGATGAGGATGATGATGATGATGATGATGATGATGACGATGACGATGCTCAAGCCTGAGAACGAAACAAAGGACTGTGTTACGCTGCAGCAGGCCACGACCTTCTCGGAGGAGCCATGTCCAGCCATGTTCGCCAAGGCTCATGGCACATGGACGGGACATACATGCAAAACTGCACTGGCCAGCCAAACAAAAACGCCTACTGACCATGCATGTCTGTGTTTACGTAAAGCTCCAAACATCTTGCTCAAGTTCATTCAAACTATGGGCAAGGGTGCAGGGTTTGCAGTAACTCAGTAGCTATGCATCTCGAAGTTAAAACAAGGGAGGGCTCGAACCTCGAGCAGCTGCACAGACGAAACGAATTTCGACAAGTTGGGTCAACTCTGCCGAAAGCAGAGAGTACAAGGGATGACCCCATCTGGTCAAAACTGCTTTCCGGCCAGGCTCGGACGCTCACTGCCAACATGCCTAAGACGCTGGACATGTGAATCTAGGGCAACATGAGGCCGCCTCTGTCCCGGAAGGGATGGTGGCTGCGAGGTGTCCATAGGAGTCGTCTGCGGCACTTCCGCATCCCCAATCGCAGTCGGGCGCCAATCCCCACGGACTAACAGCGGACACACGTCATGCCCAAGGCAAGCTCTAAAATGGCTCCATAGCACTCTCGCTCTATGGAGCCCTCCCAAACAAATTTAAAACACAAGCTGAATGTGGCATGAGATGGGCAAGTGTTGCAGAGCCCTTTTGCTCTCCCGCAAGGCCGGCACAGCTCCCCTGTGAGATCTACCGGCAACTAAACTCTGTCTCCCTATCAGGGTCCGCCACTCGATAAACTCCAAAGCCGTCGCGTTTGCTGTGTAAAAAGCAATCCAAGAACTCCCTGGTTGTGATGACTTGTTGAGGAATTTGAAGAAGAAGTGCTTGGACCTTCCTGGAAAAGAAGAGCTCGCGAGCATCAAGCTCCGTGGCATTTGGGCGTCTGCAGCGTGTTCAAGCTTCGCTACATCGAGGCTTTGGTTGCATTTTGAGGCATAGGGAGTCATGTGCCGGCGGAAGCCCTCAAAATTTTGCCAGCGGCTTTGCGCATGCGATGCCGAAGGGGGCAAGGAGCGTGAAGCTCCAAAAGCTTTACCAGCACCAGGGGCAGGGGGTTGCTCTAATAGGGTGAACAGGAGGCACTGCATGGCTCGGTGGCCATGAATCAAGAGACTCGCGCGGCAACATCGCTGTACATTCAAATAGCTTTAGCGGGCGTCACATCGGCCGACTCACTTGCCGAAAACGTGACCTCGAATGAAGCTGCATTGAGAAAGATCCCTTGCCAGTCTGTGCGACCAGCTGTCAAGGCGAGCATTTGGATCATTCTTGAGGTTCGAATCTTGTTTTGTAGCCTTAGATATGGAAGCAATTCGCTTCCGCTTGAGCACACGTGCACCGGCCTCTGAGATTAGTCTTCAGCTTTGCCACGTCTGTCAACCAATTCCTGCACGATCAAAGAAATGGATTCTAAACATTGTATTCTGCATGCAGGATCAAAAAGCTTTGGTAGAACCAAGGATGACTGGATGGAAACGTCTAGACTTTATTTCATTCTGAAGTAGACGCATCTGAGCACCGGACTCCATGTGGAGCTTCGAAAACAGGATTTCGGCGGTTTCTGTTGCAACGTGGAGGTTGCTCTCGGTGGACAATAAGCCTGTTCCCTCCGCCCCACACCCCGTGCTGAAAAAGAAACCGCCTGGGGCCAGTTTGTTATTTGGGGGATTGAAAGACTGGTTTGGTCTCCGGCTTCCAGCTGCTCTTAATTTTATTTCTATGTAGTTATTTGGATTCGTCCTACCTCTTCCCGTATAGATTCCCTTTCTGCAATCGCCTTGGCTCTTTTAAAGTGGTCTTGGGGGACGTGTTTGATTGCTCGGCGGTTGTTGCAATGCTTCCACTCCCATTGACCAAAAAACTGCTGCAAAGGCCTGCAAGCAGTGCGAAGTTGGCAAAATTGAGCTGCAGACACAAACTGATTTGAAAACTTGCTTGCTTGGATCTCAACAGCACGCCCCAACAGGGCAACAATTGCTCCGACTCAGGATGTAAGGCTGTCGCCGTCTTGTTACGTCCCCCACAAACCCTGGGTGTGATAAGGGGCTAAAGGTGATGACTCCGTTGGCATTTGGGGCACTCGGAGCCTTGACAAGCACAAACTCATTGCTTTAACTCGCTTCGTGCTCTCTCTAGGAAGGGTGTTGTCAACTCCCATTCTGTAGTAGCTACGAGGACTGTTTCAAGACCTTGCTCAGAATTCTGTCCTCCAAGGGTCTACCAATTGTGAGGGCTAGAGGCCGTAGGGGCTGCAATCTTAGGGGCTCT